TAAAACAGTGCAAAAATAGATAAAATGAACCCAAGATACATGCTGGTCACCTCTGGAGGGCAGGGATGGAGTCATGATTAGGAGAGGGGACTGTAGGCGTTGTTGTTTCATAACCTGGGCTGCTTCCCTGGGTATGTTCAGTGTGCTGTAATTATTAAACTTGCATTTTCTGTGTGATCTAATTTTTTAAAAAGCTTATTAAAGGGGCAGCTGGGTGGCTCAGACAGTTAGTTAATCGGCCGGCTGCCTGCAGCTCGGGTCATGATCTCCGACTCCTGGAATCAAAGACCCATATTGGGCTCCCTGCTCCACGGAGAGCCTCCTTCTCCCTCTCCCTCTCCCTGCTTCTCCCCTTGCTTATGCCCTCTCTCCCTGTCAGATAAATAGATAAATAAATAAAATCTTTTAAATTAAAAATAAATAAATAGTTTATTAAAGACAAAACAAACATCAGTAAGTCCACAGTGTTATTTAAAAAGAGAGAGAGAAACATTTTTTTGGTGACCCTTGAAAGTAACTAGAACATCAACACCTTAATCTGAAAATTGTAAACTGTAGAAGGAAACCTCCTTGTTTGTACAGACAAATGTTTGTATATATACAAATAATACATAATATACAAAAATTTTTGTATATTTCAGTGTTGTTCAACAACCCTACTTGATGAAGAAAAGGCTTTCTTTACAAATGATTCCTGATTAATAAATGTGAAATTAACAACGGAATTAGAAAATCATCAATGAATACAATGAAAATAATTAATCCAGGCAAAGATCTCTGTGTTAGTTAGTTATGGCTGTATAACAGATCAGCCCAACATGTAGCAGCCTAAAACAAACATTATTTCACAATTTCTGGGGGTCAGGGATCCCTGCCTGGCTTAATCGGTGCCCCTGGCTCTGGGTCTCCCAGTCGGTTGCAGGTGGTCAGCTGGGCCACAGGCATCTCTGGTCTTGACAGGGGAAGGGTCTGTTCCCAGGCTCACTCATGTGGCTATGGGCGGCGGGTCCCATACGCTCAGCTGGCTGTTGGCCAGAGATACACCGGTGACTTGCACATGGACCTCTCCACAGGGCAGATCAGAAGATGGTAGCTGGCTTCCCTAAGAGCTAGCAAGGGAGGGCAAGAGAGGGAATCCAAGATACAACCCACATTTTTGTGACTTACTAGACAGAATCCAGTTGTTTTGTGACTTAATCTAGAAGTGACATCCCAGCATCTCTGCTACATTCTATTCATAGAAGCAAGTCAAGAGTCCTGCCTAGACTCAAGGGAGGGCAGTAGACAGGGTGTGACTACTGGGAGGTGGAGGTCACCAGGAGGTCACCGGGAGCCTCGAGGAGGATGCCGACCATCGTCCTCAGTGCTGGAAGCCATTAAATGAGATGTTGATGGGTCACCACCTAAATCCACGACTCAGTCCCATAATCACTAAAAAAGCAACAACCAGATTACTACTCACCTTCTGTTGTGATGCCATCTGAAGGACACAGCATCACCTAACAAAGTATTCTCTGAAAGATAATCAAACTTTTAGAAAACATCCAATTTGCAAGAAATATGGATAATGGAAGAAGTTAAATGACACCATGAGGATACAATCTAGTTTGTGTGAACGTCTACAGGCCAGTAGACCTAGGTCCTTGGTGATTCAACTGCATGGAAAAAAACAGAAAAACCAAAAACCAAAACAAAACAAAGGAAGAATTGCTCTAGCTTAAAAGAACTTTATGAGACCTAACAATCAAATGCAGTCTTTAGACTTTGCTTGGATCCTGCTAGACAAAGGTAGGTTTTGAGACAATAAGGGGATTTTGAATATGGAAAAATAAATGGTACTGAGGAATAGCTGTTGACTTTTCTTGATATAATGACTTCATGGTTATGAAAGAAAATGTCCATATTTTTTCTGAGATGCGCACGAAATCATATAAGGACGGTATCTTAGATAGGAAGCCTAAGAAATTGCTTTAAAATACCTCAGCAAGGGGCCGCCTGGGTGGCTCAGTCAGTAAAGTAGCCGACTCTTGATTTCGGCTCAGGTCATGATCTAGCCCTGCATCAGGCTCTGCGCTCAGCAGGGAGTCTGCTTCAGGATTCTCTCTCCCTCTGCCCCTCTCTACCCTCCCCGCTCCCATAAATAAATAAATCTCTTTAAGAAATAAAATACTTCAGCAGGGGTGCCTGGCTGCCTCAGTTTGTAGAGGCTGAGACTCTTGATCTCAGGGCTGTAAGTCCAAGCCCCACGTTGGGTGTAGAGATGACTTAAAAAAAAAAAATCTTTAAAATACTGCAGCCAGGGCGCCTGGGTGGCTCAGTGGGTTAAAGCCTCTGCCTTCGGCTCAGGTCATGATCCCAGGGTCCTGGGATCGAGCCCCGCATCAGTCTCTCTGCTCAGCGGGGAGCCTGCTTCCTCCTCTCTCTCTCTCTCTGCCTGCCTCTCTGCCTACTTGTGATCTCTGTCTGTGAAATAAATAAACAAAATCTTAAAATAAATAAATAAATAAAATACTGCGGCTGACACAGCAGACCCAATAACAAAAAGAATAGATGAACTAAACGTGGGAAAATCTTAGTAAGTGTTGAAGTAAGTGATGAGTATGTGTAGGTTCATTACACAATATTATTTATTTTTATGATGGTTTAAATATTTTCATAGTAAAAATGGGAAGAAAGAGGACTAGATGGTTTTATAGCTGAGTTCTAGCTAGATTTTAAAGAATAAATATTTCCAATATTTAAGTAGGATAGTCTCCGACATAAGATGAAACCCCCCCATTCATTTTATGAAGGTCACACAACTTTAAAACTTAAAAAAAAAAAAACCTATAAGATGCATGAAGAAAACTTTATAGTTGTGAGTACATAGCTGGAGGAATTTCTGCAGGCTTAGCACACTTGGGCACACACATGAAAAAACAGAATACAAGGGAAAAGAAAGGAAAAAAAAGAAAAAACAATACTATGAGCACCCTAGAAACTCCCCTCATGCCCATTTCTAGACAGTTTCACCTGCTAAAGATATCCACTATGCTGAAGGCAAAATTTGATTTTTTTTGAAGATTTTATTTATTTGAGAGAGAGAATGAGAGAGACAGACACAGAGAGAGAGAGAGCATGAGTGGGGGAGGGTAAAAGGGAGAAGCAGGCTCCCCGCTGAGCAGGGAGCCCAACACCGGGCTCCATCCCAGGATCTGAGATCATGACCTGAGCCAAAGGCAGATGCTTAACTGACTGAGCCACCTAGACACCCCTCTTTTTAAAAAATTTTTAAGGGGCGCCTGGGTGGCTCAGTGGGTTAGGCCGCTGCCTTTGGCTCAGGTCATGATCTCGGGGTCCAGGGATCGAGCCCCGCATCGGGCTCTCTGCTCAGCAGGGGGCCTGCTTCCTCCTCTCTCTCTGCCTGCCTCTCTGCCTGCTTGTGATCTCTCTCTGTCAAATAAATAAAATCTTTAAAAAAAAAAATTTTTTTTTAAAAGATTTAATTTTTAGGTAATCTCTATATCCACTGTGGGGCTCAAACGTACAACCCCAAAGTCAAGGGTTGCTTACTTCTCTGAATAAACCAGCCAGGTGCCCCAAACGCAAGCAAATTTTCTAAATAAAATATTGGGGACACGATTCCAGAAATATATTTTAGTATCTACACAATCATACACATATATTATTGATCATTCACTTGCTCACCATTATATCTTGGACTCCCCCTGGGTTCTTGCTAGAGTACATACTTTCCTAGTGGTTTTTCCAGTAAGAGATTGTGGGTGGTAAACAAGTTGGCTTTTACATTTAAAAAAAATGTATTTATTTTAACCCTGCTCTTTGAAGAACATCTGGCTGGCTGGTGAATTTCAGGCTGCCCGGTGTTTTCCTTCAGCATTTTGAGTGTATTGTTAACAGAATCTGTCACTTCTGTCCACGCAATCCCTCAACCTCTCTTTCGTAGGCTGTTTTTTCCTTTCTTCCTTACTGTGGTGCAGTTACGCTATGGGGTTTCTGGATAGAAAGTTATTTTTATTTTCTTGCCAATCATTCAGTGAGTTTTTTCCATTCCAGTTTTCATTCATTTCATTTCTGGAAAATTATTGGTTCTTTCATTTTCAAATATCGCTGTTCACACCCTGGTTTCTTTTGCAACTTCCACTGAATATACTTCTAAACTTCTCATTCTACCCCCCACGATCCTTTCTTCTGAATTAATCCTCTCTCTTAATCCAGTACCCATTGAGATAATTTATTGATGACTTAATTTATTGATGACTTAATTTATTGATGACTTAATCCAGTACCCATTGAGATAATTATTTGATGGTTATTAGGATTATTTTTTACTTCCAATAATTATATGTTTCACTTTCAAGATTACCAATTTTTTTTTTCAAATCTTCCTGTTCTTGTTCTGTAAATGTTACTTCCTTCCTCAAGTCTTTCAGCAGTTAACATATTATTTTTAAGTTCTCAGATTGATCTCTACATCCTCAGGGATTCATTCTTTGATTTGTTGAATTTACCAACCTTTTTTAAAGATACTACACTTCTTGACGAGTGTAGAACATTTTAAAGAGCGGTTCTTGCTTGGTAGCTCTCCTTCAGAGGTGTCCTTAACTTTTCACATGATCTAGATCTGCCTCAGCCCTGGTCCCAATGGGCTTCACAGGTCCAAACCTGGTTGGTCTTATAGAAGCAGATCAATCTGAATCTTGTTCTCCATATTAATGGTTTAATTTTGGATTTTACATCAATATTGTATAGACTCGGTTCCTATGTCCCATCTGCTTCTTTACTTTTCACATATAAGTTCAAAAACAAAACCCATGTCCAAAGCATTTTAATAAACAACATATTTCATTTAAGAAGAAGCTGCATTTTTGGGGGGATAATCAACCTGAGGGTAAATGACTAAAGACCTACAAACTACAGGGGGGTAAATGACACCAGGTGTCTGCTGGCTGTCCACAAATCTCTTCTCACTGTCATATTTTATGTCTATGAATGGATCTTTAGTACCGTGCTTCCACGACACGAGCCCCTTGTAGTATCTCCATTCCAGATCCCTTAGATCCATGAATTGTTTCTCTGCAAAGAATCACATTTTCAAAGAATTACATGAAGGTGTTATTTAACCTTCAGTTATTCAGAGATGCTTCTTGGACAGATGAAATTTTGATGAACTTGAGTCTCTTCCTTTTGGTAGAAAGCTGTTTCTAGAGCTTTACAAATGAAGCAGGCACCTATGGTGTTCATCTGTCTAAAGCCCTCCTCCAAATGGGGAGCTGGATGGGCCTGGCTAACTGGGCTAGAGCAGACACTAGCAGGTGGAGGAGTCTCATTCAGTGCCTGGATCCTAATAATGGACAAATGGAGAGATCTACAGAGCACCGAGATCAAGAGATCAAGAGAGAGGAGAAAAGGATCCTGATGAGTGTTTAAAACAAGGACAAAGATTTATCAGAAGTCCATAGGTTGTTAGTGTCATTTCTTCCAAGATGCTGGTTTAAGCCCTGGGTATAAAGGGCTGTGGCTAGCTACTCTTTCAGGACCCACCAATTTGGGGCATCACTAGTAATTATAATCCCTTCAAGAAGCCAATGAACCATGGAAAGTCAGGCCAAGATACACTGCATATTCTCTTATTCAGCAGTCATTTTCCTTTCCCTTCCTTTCAGTTTCTTTAATGACTAACCAAAATGTAAACCACCCTCCCTCCCCAAAAAGAACAGCAACAAAAAAAGAGCAAGGCATGAGGTAGACACTTGAGTATAAAACCAGAGGCCCAAGAGTCAAGGTGATGAGTTTGAGGAACAGAAGGTGAATAATGGATACAGCAAACAAGCAGGAGGGCTGGTTTAATTCTCTCTTATCATTCTCCCTGTATTGTGATACTTGAGCAGGTCTGTTATGGTCCAGATATGTTCCCTGCACCAATCAGGCCTCCAACCCTGTCCTGGAAGGTCCCGAGCTTTGGTATACGTTCTGTAAGTGCTTGAAGTAGGAGACCGGGGCCAGGGACTGTCCCCTGAGTTCCTACCTTCCCTAGTGGAACAGATACTGTAGCAAGCTGTTGGTGCTGAACACTGGTGGTCAACAGTGTCTCCCTAAGGGCAATTACCGAGTGTCAGGAGTTTGACAAGATTTTAGCAGGCTTGGCATTGGAAGATCTGGTTATAGAAGGAACAGAAGGATGTATTTGACGAGAGAAGCCCACAAAGTTGATGATTTTGATTACTACAGAGCTTTATGCTCTGATCTGTGGTACACACTACAGATAGTTGGCTCACTGTATACCCATTGCAATCCTCTTCTGTCTTCCTCTACCAGAGAGGATGAAAAGCTAAGATCTCTATTCACCACCCAGCAGTAAGGGGTGGCTCTTGGACACAATTCTGACCCATGAGATGTAGGGAGAAGTCCCGGAGGAGGAGTGTTCTGAGGAAGTTTGGCTTCCCTATTAAAAGAGGACACAAGTAGCCAATGTGGCCCTTCTTCTTAGCCCCCTTTTGCTGCCTGGAATGTGGCCATAGTACCTGGAGGTGAAGGAGGCATCTTTTGACCATGAAGACAAAAGCTGTACACAAAAAGACGGTGGAGCCTGGGTCCTTGACAATATCAAAAGCATTGCTCCAACATTTGTCTGTCTACCTCCAGACTTCTAAGTACATAAGAAAAATAATCTTTATTTGGTTTCTCTGTCATTTTTGGTCAAACACATTCCTAACCTACATAGTCCCACAGTATTTAGCTTGAGCAAGAGGAGCTGATATGATAGAAGGACAAAATGGTAGCACCCATTCTCTTTTCCTTCCCCAGGGCTTGATGCTAGTAAGGATATGTTCTATAATATTCTTTGGTATACCAAGACCCCTAAAGTCCTCGTGGCTGAGAATACTTTAGGTACTGGCTGACTGATAAAATGACAGTAATACCGGACAATATAGGAGAGGAAAAGATGAATTGCTGCAATACCAATTAAACCTAAGAAATTCCTGGATGGTCTCCATATGGATGCCTACACCTGGCTTCACGCATATTCCTTGAATAGACAGGATGTGTACTTGAAATTCTGCCTATAGGATCTAAGGAAATGAGGTCATGAAGACAGAGAAGAAACCCCAACAGGGTCTGGAAGGCCACAAGAGAGACCTCTAGAAGTTAGGTTGCAAGGAGACAAGCCATACATTGGGGATAAAGGACAATTTGGCTTCTGCCGATGGCAAAACCATAAACATCCCTATCAGATACCCAAAGCCCTCAGCACTTTTTCAATAGGCTCTTTGGCAGGACTAATTAATTCCTAATATTTTCCATACTTTTTCCTTTCTGGTCCCAGACTTTACCTCATGTACTTCTGTGGATTCGCTAGGCCATTCCTACAATTGCCCTGATTTCTATTCCTGCCTGGGCTCCAGAACACACAAAGTATGACTCTATCAAAGGGATCTGAAACCTACATTAGACTCTGTCAAGACATCAGTGTGGGGAGTTACAGCAAAGGCTGTTCTGGCATCTTGGACCAAATATGAGCAGAGTAATCAATCTATGCCTTTGAATTTGTTCTTCTGACTCTCCCACTACTTTTAGTATAAAAATGGTGCTGTCAAAATATTTGCTGTGCAAATGGTTTTATCTTGAGTCAAGAACCTACTTTAGGAAGGTTCAAATATTTCATATCATTGACTTAATCTATTTTTTACAGCTACCTAGAATGACAAATTATTATCTCCCTCAAATTAAGGAAAATGAAGACCTTATAAGACACCCCCTTCTCATTGAAACTCACCATCATATATTTTATATATTTTTAACTTTTTCTAAATAGTTTTTTAAAAAAGAACATCTTCCTATTAAAGTGTCAGAAATGAAAGGAAGAGTTTCCTCTTGTTGTTTGTAGAGATGTATCAATAATGAAAGGTATGAGTTCCTGAAAAAATATCTAAAAATACCCCCTCTCAATTGCACTAAAGCCAAGATACTTTAGAAAAATAAGCCATTATTCAGCAAACATTTGGCTAAGTTCATAATAGTTATGGGTGACTTAGAGTCCCAAGTTTAACTAGCTAATATTATAAAGGTGACTTTAAGTACCACACCCAAAATATTCCTTTGCAAGACTGGAATGTTCCAGTCTCTTTTCTCTACTTCCCATTGGCCCTGTAGGCAGCAGGCACATCAGCCACGAGCCCCAGAACTGCAAGATTCCCGTGGGTCACCATGTGACTATTTCAGTTCTCATAACCTAAGTAAATGTTGCAATAAGATTTCCACGAATTTCCCCCCACATAGCCTCCTCTGTTTAGATTACCTGGATCAACTAAGAAGTACTTAGCAATTCTGTCTGCAAAGACAAAATTTTCTGGCCTGATCCTGGAAATGCCCAGCATGCCTAATATGTTGGCACCCTGAGTCTTCTCCTTTACGGGGATGGGGACCGGTGATGAGGATTTGGAGTGTTCGATGAGAATCTCATAGGGAAAAGTGTGTGCGGGAGGAGGAATCCCATGCCGGAAGAGCCTCTGCTGGGCTCTGGTGAGTCTCTCCACCCGAGAGAGCGAGGGGGTCAACAAGGTTCGGTACAGGATTTCGGTCATAGAGTCTGGTTTCTCCTCCTCTCTTCTCACCACCTTGCACACGAAAAGAGGCTGGGGGTCTTCTTCCCTCACGTCGTCGGTTCCACTAATTGACATGGCATTCAGGTTTTGACTAAGCATTTTCTGTGCTTCGCTCAGTGAAATACCGTGAGTTTTTAGGAGACTTGATTTCTTGCTCTCCTTAGTAAAGTCCTCAACAAAAGCATATAATTCTGGCAGCTGCAGGAGGGAAAAAGGCGGGAAGTCAGGAGACAGGATGAAACGTAATTGGTAGACTCACAAACCCTGGAACAGAAGGATACCAAGGAACCGTGAAAACAGAAGCATCTGTCTTTGGAAGCTATCTCTGCCTAACGAACCCGAGCTAAGAGTGGCAATGTCAAATCTCACAGTCATTCCCAGAAAGGGGTATTATTAGACACAGCACTTAAACCATGAAATGGGCCCATTAGACTTGGATCAGAAAGTCTGTAAGATCTTTCCAATGTAAAGTATGATGAGCTGCCATGGAGAGAGAGAATGAGAGAGAGCTGTGGAGGCTTATAGCCTTTGTTTGGAGTAAGGCTATGTTTTCTCTCTTTTTCTTGTTCTTTTTTTTTTTTTTTTTTTAAGGTTACATTTCTTTTAAGGAAGAAAGAGAGCCAGATAATACAGATATCAAAGCTTCATCCCGGTTTCCAAAGGGCTCAGAATGTTCCAGAATGCAGTGCAAAGGAAGCTCTAAGAGTCCCTATTCATTGGGATATTTTACTAATGCAAAGAGTTAACCTGGCGGAGTGTTTGGGAATAGTTGTTGGCAGAGAAAACAATAAAGAATTCCTTAGAATACCTTCCTTACCCAAAATCCTATACTGAAGGAATAAAATCTCATTTTCTCCAGCATCGGGCCTACCAACTCCATTATTCCTAAGGAAGTTCTTAAGCCATTCAACTGGAAGGCCAGAAAGGCCAAAGTGAGAACCCAAATTTGGGTCATCAGCCCAGGGCACTTTCCCTTCACTCCTAGGCCTGTTCTGCGTCAGAGCAACAAATCCCAAGAGGGCAGAGGTGGGAGAACGGCTTAGCTCTCGCACGCACCTGCCCTGGAAATGCTGCATTTCACTGTGACCAAAGAGCATCAGTCAGTCGATGAAGGGGAATGTTCGTATTCCCTGGGCCCTCCAAGAACATCACCGGGTATTGCAGTAGCTCAAACCGTTACAATTTTTTTTTTTCAAACTGTCACAATTTTTGAATATCGTTTGCCCTGTGGGGTACTGCAGAATTGTAAGCACTTACCGGACACCCGGGAGACTCTGCCGCCGCCCCGCCTTCCTCCGGATTGGTGTCATCACTAAGAAACATCGTGAGGGGACTTCGTCCTCAGATTCCTGAGAAAGCAGTCGAAGAGGAGACAGACGGAGTGAAAGACAGACAACCCAGCCCAGTACAAGGCAGGAGGGTGGGGCATGGGTAACGCTTTTTACGTGCCCAGAACTTTGTAGGTGGGACACTTGCTAAAATTTTACACCATTTTAAGTTTTCTTTTGTTTTCTTCTTACCCTAGGTCTATCAAATGACTCACATGCCAAACAAATATTTTCTCTGAAACACCTCAAATTCGTATATGACATATACGCTCTGACATTTAATACTAATTAAAAGAATCCTACATGGGTTGTTTAATGTTTTTGTCTTACATATCTTGGTCAATTTCCAGTTTATCTAAAGAAAAACTCCCTTATTTCTTACCCAGGAAAAGTGCTTTATTTTTATTTATTTTTATTATTATTTATTTATTTATTATTTGAGAGAGAGAGTGAGAGAGAGCCTGAGAGGGGAAAAGGTCAGAGGGAGAAGCAGACTCCCCATGGAGGTGGGAGCCTGATGCGGGACTCGATCCCGGGATTCCAGGATCATGACCTGAGCCGAAGGCAGTTGCCCATCCAACTGAGCCACCCAGGCGCCCCTGGAAAAGTGCTTTTTATTCAGGAGGAGAGGGCTAATAAAACACAAACAATTTACATTTTGAAACGATTTGCTTTGGGCCAGATATGCCGGTATGCAGTTTACAAAAGGAATTGTGTTGGGGCACCTGGGTGGCTCAGTGGGTTAAAGCCTCTGCCTTCGGCTCAGGTCATGATCCCAGGGTTCTGGGATCGAGCCCCGAGTCGGGCTCTCTGCTTGGCAGGGAGCCTGCTTCCCCCTGTCTCTCTGCCTACTTGTGACCCCTCTCTCTGTCAAATAAATAAAAAAATCTTAAAAAAAAAAAAAAAAGGAATTGTGTTAAATTTCTTCGTGAGGAGTTGGAAATGTCTACAGAATATTTACAGTTGGTCTCATCAGCGGGAGCAGTTCAGGATGCTCCCACTTTTTTTTAAAGATTTTATTTATTTGTTTGACAGGCAGAGATCAAAAGTAGGCAGAGAGGCAGGCAGAGAGAGAGCGGGAAGCAGGCTCCCTGCTGAGCCAAGAGCCCCATGGGGGGCTCGATCCTAGGACCCTGGGATCATGACCTGAGCCGAAGGCAGAGGCTTAACCCACTGAGAAACCCAGGCGCCCCTAGGATGTTCCCATATTTTAAAAAAAGATTTTATTTATTTAGATAACAAGAGAGTGAGTGGAGGGGAGCAGAGGGACAGGAAGACAGAATCTCAAGCAGACCCCCCACTCAGCATAGATCCTGAGGTGGGGCTTGATTCCAGCAACCTGAGACCATGACCTGAGCCAAAATCAAGAGTCGGGTGCTCAGCCAACTGAGCCAATCAGGTGCCCCCGTCTGCTCCCACATGTGACCCTGGGCTGACTTTATGGTTGTCCTTGACCAACAGCATACAAGTATAAGCTCTGAGTGCCAGAGCCTAGGCAGTAAGCTTTGCAGCTTCACGTCACACTCTTGGAATCCCTAGCCACCACGCAAAGAGGTCCCAGACGCAAAGAGGTCTGGGAACGCCAAGGGGAGCTGAGAGCCAGCAGCGGCCACTAGACAGGAGCGCGAGGCCGTCTTGCATCACCCAGCCCACTTGTGCCTCCAGACGGCTACAGCTGCCTGAGCAACTCCAGACCATCCCAAATGGAGAACAGCAGCCACCCAGCTACGCCAGCCAACTCCAAAATTATGGCAAATAATGAATTACAGATGTTTCAAGACACTAAGGTTTGAGTGGACTGTTACATAGCAATAAATAGCAGATAAACTCCATAATCCTTCACATTCCTGGTTTAATTTATTCCAGTGAATCCTCTGTTGGAGATAAGGGAATGTGTGAGGGACGATATCTTCCTTGGTACCACTATATCCACACGGGTAACTACAATAATTGGGATAAGGATCAGAGATGAACTAACAATACTCTTGGTGTTTGGGGTGAAGTAAAAACAATGAAATTCTTCTTCTTTCCCTAGCAAAACAGAAAAACCCAGAATGAATACATTTATATATGAATATATTTCTATTCACTCTGGGTTTTTCTATTTTGCTTGGTAAGAAGGAAAAAACCAACATATATTTGAATATGTAGTCCTTCTGGGATATCTATCGATATATGTACCTACCTATTACTTGGATATACATATATCCAAATGTATTACAGTCACTAGTAAGTACACTGTATCAATATATATGACCAAAGGAAAAAAAGAAAGCAATATAATACAGCATGATGATTCCCTTTCCTACGTTTGCATAGTGGCCTCATAGATAGATCTATCATTGACCAGTTAAAAGAAGACTTGATTGTGCTTTTTTTTTTTAATTGTACTTTCCTTTTGTTATTTCTTGCAAAGGAAAATATTTCTCTAACTGGTTTCATCTAAAACCTCTCATTGTCTCCTGGGCACCCATTACCCCTTCCAGTGGTGCCACACACCATGAGAGGGTTGTCTTTTCCCATGACCAATGGACAATACATTGTTCTCCCCTTTCCTCTCCCTAACAGAGCTTGACTTAACCCCTCTACACACACACACACACACACACACACACACACACACACACACACCGAACTTTATTCAGAATTTCTGATGCATGGGGCACCTGGGTGGCTCAGTTGGTTAGGGTTTGCCTTTGGTTTGGGTCATGATCCCAGGGTCTTGGGATCAAGTCCTGCATCAGGCTCCCTGCTCAGCGGAGAGGCTGCTTTTCCCTCTCCCTCTGCCCGCCACTCTCCCTACCTGTGCTCTCTGTCAAATAAATAAATAAAAATCTTAAAAAAATAAAATGAATGAGGGGTGCCTGGGTGGCTCAGTGGGTTAAGCCTCTGCCTTTGGCTCAGGTCATGATCTCAGGGTCCTGGGATTGAGCCCCGCATCAGGCTTCTGCTCAGCGGGGAGCTTGCTTCCCCCTCTCTCTCTGCCTGCCTCTCTGGCTACTTGTGATCTCTCTCTGTCAAATAAATAAATAAAATCTTTAAAAGGAAATAAATAAAATAAAATGAATGCTATTCATGGATGACGGGGAATGAAGTTCTGATATATGCTACAGCATGATAAACCTTGAAAAATTAGGCTAAGTGAAATAAGCAATTCACCAAAGGCCACATATTATATGATTGCATTGACATAAAATTTATAAAATAGGCAAATCCATAGAGACAGGAAGTACATTAACAGGAACTAGCCTAAGGCTGGGGGACATGCAGGAATGGGGAACGACTGCTAATCAATCTGGGTTTTTTTGGGGGGGTGATAAAAATTCTAAAATTGATTGGGTGATGGTTGCACAACTCTCTGAATATAATTAAAATTATTGAACTGTGCTCTTTGAAAGAATTTAATGGTATGCGAATTGTTTGCTAATAAGACTTAAAAATGATTTGGAGAGAAAATGATAGTTATGAAAGATAGACTAAGGTGATGCAAAATATTGAACTGGTTACCCCATAAGAAAAAACCCCAAATCATAGAATAGAAAAATATTTAAAATTAAAATTCAAGAAGATTTTCCTGGAATTAAGGATTTGAATCTGTGTATTAAAATATCAGAATGGCTAGCACTAAAACATATTCTAGTAAAGTAATTGAGTTTCAGGAAAAAAAGAAAACAAGAGTTAGTTTTATCTAGCAACAGTCAGACAAAAACACAAAAAAAACAAAACAAAGTTTGAGCCAAGGATTTTTCCATTTATTTAAGCTATGTTTGAAAGAATAAAAGCTTGGGGCACCTGGGTGGCTCAGTGGGTTAGGCCTCTGCCTTCGGCTCAGGTCATGATCTCAGGGTCCTGGGATCGAGTCCCGCATCGGGCTCTCTGCTCAGCGGGGAGCCTGCTTTCCCCTCTCCCTCTCTGCCTGCCTTTCTGCCTACTTGTGATCTCTGTCTGTCAAATAAATAAATAAAATCTTTAAAGAAAAAGAAAAAAAAAGAATAAAAGCTCAAGAAAAAATTTTGATCTTGCAAGAACTCAGGAAATATTGTTCCCATGAGTCCTTCTTGAGAGAACTATCAGTTGACTGATGGACTTCAAGCAGCCAAGAGAAGAATGGACTTCAGAACTTAAGAATCTTCTAGCAGTAGGGCAAGTTTGCTTGTAAAGGAAAACTACAATGCATATATTCTCTGAACCTAGGATTCCTACTCCTAAATATCTATTCTTACATTTGAAAAACATTTCCATAGATGCCAATGAAACATAACCGGTTATTCACGGCAACAACTTTGTTTGTAACAGTAACAGACTGAAAACAACTTCAGGGTCCTAGGAGAATGAGGGGTCAAACAAACCCAATGCCCACCCACAGTATAAAGGATAATTTGTGCTTTTTCACACAATGGAATACTCTTCAGCAAAAGATTTTGTACTTTATGTTACAATGTATGTAACGCTCAAGAATAAGCAAACAATCTATAAGGTTAGGAGTCACAATAGCGTTTACCTTGGGAGGGGTCCGTACTGGAACATGAGAATTCCACAGCTCTGGTAATATTTTGTTTACTTGATCTGAATGCTACTTGTGTGTAACTGATAGAAATCCACTGAGCTTTGCCTTTATAATCCATGAATATTTTCATATGTGTCTCAGACATCGGGGCACCTGGCTGGCTCAGTCAGAATACCATGTGACTCTTGATCTCAGGGTCGTGTGTTCAAACCCCAGTTTGGGCACAGAGATTATTTAAATAAATAAAAATTTTTAAAAAAGATATTAACAGAAACTTTACCTAAGATGGAGAAAAACAATTTCCAGGGAAAATCTTGTCAAGAAAAGTCTATTCACACTGTTCTTGGGCAACCAGTGGGTCTGGAGGCAACTCAATATTGAACGATTAATGATAGTGGAAAGGATCCAGTATGCTAAATAGATGTCACAACATAGGAGAAAAACACATTGGAGGAGAAGTATACAACAAGTAAAATCTAGGTTAAGGA